CTAGCTGGCGTTTGTCTGTTCACGACCATTCAATCCTCTGCTATGTTGTGTTTTTGATCACAGAGGGTTAAAAGATCACTGATGAAGCAAACTAAAGTCAAGATGGTTCGACAATTTGGGAGCTACACACACACATACAAAAAAAAAACAAAAATTCTTTGGATTAAAGAACTAACTCGAGTTAAAAAGGTAATGCTGATTAGGGAAATTGTCTCATCCTCACTTCTATGGCATCCTTCTGAAAGTGTCTTCTCACGAAAATTGACTTTCTCCAACACCATAGCTCAGAACTCATGGTTGGACAATGGGGATCTGCGGATAGCAGTGTGGATAGGGATTGTCAATGGAGTTCCAACCAACCATAGGGAGGTCGAAGGATGATGATGATTATGAGTAACTTAAATTTCTAAGTTTTGGTCTTTAGGTTCAGCACAAAGTCTTGGTCAGGAGGTCTCAGTGAATGATGCAGACTCAAGTAGCAGTAGTGTGGGGACTGTGTGTGTGTGTGTGTGTGTATCTCTCTGTGACTCCAGCTTATATGGAGTCCTGCATCCAGAAGAGGTGGGGGTTGACTAAGGTCTAAATTCAGTTTTCTTCTACCCTAAGCATCAACCTTTTCTAAATTTACACATATAAAAATACATTTACCCAAGTGGTTTTCCTAATTAGAGATTGACCAGACCTCTTTTGAGTGATCAGAGAGATCAAATCACCCCTCAACTCCAACTCTATGCCTCACCTCGCCCCACAGTTCCATATAGGCAGTGCTAATCTCTCTCTCTCTCCTCCTACTTTCTCAGCAGCCAACCTCAGCCTGCTGACATGACAAATCCAACTTCCAGATGACTCAGTGAAAACAAAAAGGATTTTCAGTCATTAATCCTTATCCATCAGCTCGCCCCATGCTAGGATCTCTCGACTGACCAGACCACTGGAAAAGGAAATAAAAATACTATTTCTATTCTTCTTAAAACAAAAGTTTATCCTTTCTATGTCTTATACATTTTTTTTTTTTTTTTTTACACTTGAACAGATCACTCAGCCTTCTTGACCATGGTCACTTCAAAATAGTAATTAATTCTTCCTTACCACTTATATCCAAAGGAATCCAAATTAATGTTTGGATATAACATTTTTCTGGACAAATGTCACAGAAATTATAATGAATGAATGTGCAAGGCTGGTCCCTATCTCTGTGGGGATACTTTTCTTCAGGGAGGCCAATTCAAAACAGATGGTTTTTCTTGGCCTTTTTTGTCTAGAGGAATCATGAATGTTATTGATTTTGGCGACCAGCCTGGTTTCTTTATTATCAACATGTTTTTATTTTATCTGACATTTTTGTGGATACCTTAATACTCTCTTTCTTATTGGCAAGAAGTGTGGGGGTGGTGGATAGTTTTACTCAATCTTACTGAATCCCATCTAGTTAAATTTGGGTTCGATTCTCCTTGGAATTATTTCAAAAACATGATTTTTCAGCACATTTTGTTTTTAATTTTCTTCTCAATTTTTCAATCCATCTTCCTGCGAATTCAACAATTATTATCCAGTTAGTAGACTCTTCTCTCTCTCTCTCTCTTTCTGTTTAATCAACCAATTAGTTATGTCTAATACTAAAATCTTTACTACAATATCCAAGACAACCAGAGATATTATTAGGAAGAAAAATAAATGAAACACCAATTCAGATACCAGCACTTATCAAATAAATTGTTTACAATGTAAAAGCACTTATATCAGAGAGACATCACAAAATCTAAAAGACCGTATCTACGAACATAAAAGATTTACGTTTAGACAGCCATTCAAACTCTCTTGTAATACACAGGAACAAAACAGGCAATGACTTTGATTTTACAAATGCCCCCATAATTAAAAAAGAACATAATTCTTTGTCAAAAGTACTTTGAGTGATTATTAATAACAATATTACCAACTATAGACACACGTCAAAAACATTACATCACCACCCTTTATTGAATCCATTCTTAAAGAATCTAATGTGTTTTTATCTAAAATATGTATGTAAAAACGTTCCACCCGCAAAAAAATATATGTACGTGTAATCAGTCTATAATGAAATTACTGAAGTCTTTGTCTTCTCCGTCGTCTTCTTCTGCTCAGTCTTATGCCAGTCGACACTGAAACGAACAACACATGTGACTTTTGCACAACTGGACCACTTCACTTTACCCTCACAAACTCAGTTTTTATGCCGGTGAGGCATACGCTTATGCAAATGAATACGGGCCTCGCTCCCAGTCTGGTCGTGCATGCACACTGCCATTTTTGTGTCCCGCTGCCATGACATTTGCCTCATCAAACGTTCACTCATTCATTTGTTACAGTACGTAAAAACATTCCCAAATAAACATGCAAAAAAACAAAAAACATGTCTACTAGACATAAACGCACATGCACACACTTACAAATAGACATTATCATCTGAATTCCACACAGACAAACCAGAATTATTATACACATACATACATAAAGCAATATTTCCAGTTTTTCAGTTAGGCTTAGTAATTTCTTGGAAATTTGAATAGCTGTTATCATCTCTCCCTGAATTTGGAATACCATAAATTATACTAACATTTGCTTAACAAGTTGAATGCATGTGAAACATGATTAACCAGTGAAAATCAAACAATCTGTATTTGATCCCAACTCCTCTTATCCTAAGTAAATTCTTTCATTATAACAATCAGAATTTTGTCTAATTTTGTTCCTTTTATTATTTTATTTATTCTAGTGTTAGATAGATTTATATAAAAGCAAAATAATATAAAAAATAATAACAATGAAAAAATATGTAACATTTTAAGCATGGAGCAATATTATGTAAAGTAAGTATAAATCTTATTCATACCTGAGGTACATGCATATTAACTGCAGGATTAACTAGATCACGAGGAAGAAAATTATCATCTTTAGTGTCTATTAAAGCAATTTGCTTTGCTTCTAGCGCAGCAGTTTTTTGATCTTCATACATATTGTTAAGAGAAAATGCATTGTTTTCATTTGCATCTAAAATGCGGCGTCCAGCAAAATCAAATGTAACTTTTACTTCTCGACGAGACTGGAAACGTATTTGACGCAATTCTTCTTCACATCGTTCTAGTGCCTCTCTTTCTGATTTGCTTAACCACTGAGAGTCAGAACTGAAATAATCTGCATCATCATCAATTACATGCGTTCTCTTCACACTGTAAAAAGACAATAAAACAAAAAAATCAGGTGTGAAACTAGCAAGGCTGTCAATTTTATTTTAACATTGCACTAACAGAGTCAGTGGGTACACCAATGCTTGCAATATGTGAAATCATACTGGCTAAATCATATACAAGCCACTCCAGGACACTGTTTTATCACCATTTTAATTGTCTATATGATTCACTGACATTAAGAAGCTTCAGGACAGGACAAGGCAATTTCTTTCTAGATTTGTCAGCTATTCCAGGAACAAAAAAACTTTTTGCAATCCTACAAGCAAATTGTTTTATATAATTTTATGTATACATAAAAAACATAAAAAAAAAAAACATACCAATTTACAAAAGGAAAAATTATATTTCAATAAATACTAAATGGACTATGAAGGTGCATAAAAATGTAAGATGAAAAAAAAATTACTTTAAGATGAGATTTTGTCTACATGTTTCCTCATTAAGAAATAGAAGGTTACAGGTAAAACAATAGAATCAGTTTTAAATGGCTGCTTCATTTTGTTTATAGTTAGGATGTCTCAGGTTATTTCATATATATATAAATATATATATATATATATATATATATATATGTGTGTGTGTGTGTGTGTGTGTGTGTGTGTGTGTGTGTGTGTGTGTTTTATTTTTAAATAGATACAACTATAGTTTCACATTTCCAATTCAGTTATTACTGATACTACAAGCACATTTTGAGTTTGAGCACATTTTTAAGCCTGGAAAACTTCTGTCAGTTTTAGAGTAGATTTCTGACCCATTACTTGATTTAAATTCTTGAAAATTACATATATATATGTACATACATACACATTGCCCCATATTATTAGGCATTTTTTTATTTTTTCTAATTTTTCAAAAATGAATGAAAGGGTATTTGTATTATTAATGTGCAGATATTTCACACACATATATAGAGGATTAAATGTCATTTTTATGATGTGAGAACAATTTTATAACTTACCAATTTCCACCCAGCTCCAAGAAATATTGTTATAATGAAAAATTATAATTACAGGAAATACAAAGTTTAAAAATATTAATGCCTTGAAAAAAAAAAAAAAAAAAAAAATTAAAACAGTGTCATTGTAATTATGACAAAGTTATAAAAATAGCATTAGTGTGAAATGTATGCCCTATGTTGTGAAACTTATTTTAGAATTCATTTATCCTTTGATTTTATGCACTATTGTATTTCCTCATGATGAAACAGACTTCACAGCATCCAGAATAACATTTTCATTTTTGCTGATTTTTGGTAAATCTTCCTCTTCATAATTCTTCATAAGTTTCAATCAGATTAATGTTTGGCAAGCAAAGTCAGTCACTTCATTAGTGTCTTTAGAACCCATATTATTTTCTTTACTACATGGGATGGGACATTATAGTACATAAAAAAAAAAATCACCATCTTTCTGAAAACATTTGGTTTATTTTAACATCATCTGTAATTCACTCTGGATACACCATTTCATCTATCATGTCTTAACTCATGAGGACATTTTCTACCTAAAGTTTTTTAAGCATACTCCATTCACTACTTGTCAATAAAAAGAACAATTAAAAATTCAATATTCATGTATTCTGTTGTATACGTCATTTAATTTTTCTTGTGGATGTTTTCTTTAAAAAGACCTCGTGATCAATCTCACATCTCTTGCTACTTGATTTGGGAACTGACACTTTATGTCTTTCAGTACTTCCTTGTTGCCACAATGCCCAAGATTATCTGGCATAATAAAGACAAATTTTTATAACTTCTCTACTGATACAAGATACAGTTTCATGAAATTAAAGTCTTCAATTTGTCCAGGATTTTCAATGAACTTCTTTGCAAATCATTGGTACCAGATGATAATTTTTGCAATTTCTAACATGGTTTTAGATTTTACAATCTCTGACATTGTTAAATATTTATCTTTATTAAATAAGTCTCATGACCCATTTTAAAGTGTCAAATTCATATTACTGCTATTAATTTGCGATATCAATATTTTGCGCATTTCATACAAATATCTGCTGTTTGTTCACATCTAAACACAATGAATTGGTTTTCATCATTCAGGAAATAAACCAATAACTGTTTTATGCATTAAGAAAAATATAAAGGCGCTAATTATGTGAGATGCAGTGTGTGTGTATATATATATATATATATATATATATATATATATATATATACACACACACAAAAGAGAGTAATGAAATGTCAACATCCTAATCCACTTCTCAAAATCTGATTAAATGACGTTAGATGGTTATTCACTTCAGAACCCAATCATATATCTATATTCACACACACACACACACACAGTGTGAGGGACACTACATTTTCCATGGTAACTAGGATATTTACAAAAGGCTATTTTTCCACATCATTGCCAATTTCAACAGCCGAGAATGAAGGGCATGTCACATTCATCACTGTTGTGCTGAACTGTATAGCCTCTATAAACATTCAACAAGCACCAATGACTCCACTTGCCAGATTGATGCTCAGTGCTAGTTAAGCTAATTTCCATATGAAAAAAAAAAAAAAAAAAGAATTTTTTCAGGCTATATTAAAAATTAAAAAAAAAAAAAAAAAAAAAAAAGAAATAGCCAAACCTAGTTTTGTCATAATCCAATAGCCTATTTTTGTATTCAATAGCTTTGGAAAATTCTTCAGATTCTGCATAACTTGCTGAATTTTTGGAAATTTGAAGAATTTGGTTGTTTATTTGCTGCAACACTTTATCAGAGTCCTTCATCAAAGTTTGATGCAATTTCTCACTCCTTTTTGTTCCTTCAGACAAAATTTTCTGTTGCTCTTTGGAACAAACCTAAGCAATGAAAAGAGATTTAAAAATTTAAAAGTATAATTTTTATTTATGTAACAAAATCTTCCAATTTTGAATGTGAAAAATAATTTAAATAGCACAGTAAAACAATATATTTGTTTTTTGGTGTTCAGTTAGTGGCCATAAAAAATGTTTGCCTATTTTCATTACACCAATAAGAACAAACAGAACATTTTTTAATTGTAGACAACATTGATTTGACTGCATGATGCATTTTTCATTTGAAAATAAGAATAATTTTTAAGATTATTGATAAGTCAGTAAATAAAAATTATTTAATGACACTTCATGCATTGAATACATATTAAATTTTATTAAACTTGAACAATATTTTTCAAACAACAGTTTTTATCAAAACAATGATATAATTTGTCTATTTGGAACTTATTGCAAAGCTGCATGATAAACAACATTTTTGGTTTTCCCATTTGGGGTCAGTACAAATAGCTTGTTTCCATTCCCAACCCTTGAACAACCAACAGAGTTGGCCATGAGAAAAGCAGGGTTCTATCAGATGAAATCCAATTACTTTCAATGATTGTCCTTGGGACTTATTGATTGATATTGCATAGCTCACTCTCACTGGAAACTGAAGTTTTTTGAACTCAAAAGGAAGATCTGGAGGAATTAAGGGGATTCTTGGAATTAAAACTCTTTCCTCCTTTCCTGGACCAGTAAGGATCTCTGCTTCCAAGAGATGAGGAAGCATCTTCTTGACAATTAACCTTGTTCCATTACAAAGCTTTGGAGGATCCAGATTTCTCAATAGCATAACTGGCACATTTTCTTTTAGTTCCAGCTTGTGTGATGGCATTCCAGGAGGATTCAATGAGTTCAGGAACTCTATTGGATAATTCACTGCCTGCTCTTGTTCAACCACAGTGTCAATGGAAAAGTACTTCATGCTTTCTTTTGAAAGTTTCCAGTTGATACTATCCACAGTTTGATTCTTGGAAGCTAATATGGGGATCTCGCAAAAACAATTTAAATCCATGAAATGGTGTTTAATGTTTGGATAAACATGGTTAATCAAATCTTGGATACTTGAGACTGAAACTCCACAATATCTCCATTTTGGCCCATTTTGATGGTTCTATTGCCAAGCTGCAATAGCAAAGAAGCAAATCTTCCTGCTTCAAGGTCACCTGTGATTCTAACACTAGTGTTTGTTTTCAGGCCGAGTTTTTGAACATGGCTCCAGAAGTAAGAATTTTTCAGAGAGTTGTGTCCCTTTAATTGAAAAAGTGTTATACAGACATTTTCACATTTGGCACAAATATAAAATATATATTTCTGTTATGAAACTAAAAATAAAAAAAATTAATAATTACCAAATTGCCACAAAAGAGACAAACTCCAGCTCCTTCCTGGGCACAGATTATCCGACCACACTCCAAACAGTTGTTGACAAGTTCATGTTTTAGTGCTTGACATTCACAAATATGTCGACCTGAGTCAAAAGTACACAGTTATTCAAAAATTCTGAAGTTTGTCAAACTGATCAATTTTATCATAACACACTGAAATCATTAACTGGGAGTAAGAGATGTAACTGAAATAAAATACTGGTAATGGTAAAATACTAACATGAAAAACATAAAGGCCACAAAGAAATTTGTCAAAGCTGCCAAAGAAGAATGACTGATGGTGTGTTTACTGTGATTTCATGCTTTAGGTTCAGCTGTACTGTTAGCTTGCTTTTTATATGCAGTCATGTTTTCTGCTATAGCTAAAGTTTATTTTTAATGCTTTGTAACATACTGATAGCTAGGTATAAACATTACATACATAAATACACTAAAATCTTTTTCCTTGAATATGTCCTGCTGAAACAGGAGTGTGTCTTTTCTGCTGTCAAATACAGTTTGTTAATATACTTGGAATTTGAAAATATTTTCAGTTTAAAAAAAAAAAAAGAAAAAAAAAGAAAAAGAAAATCACAAGGATACATTCAAGGCCTAATCACAGCCACATATAAAAAAAAACAAATGTCACTTCCTCGTCGATATATAAAAGCCCTGAAGGAATTAACAATAAAAACATCCACATTTCTTCAAGTCTATTTCCTAATATTCAAAATGGTGTCTTGTAAAATGATGAGAAAAGAAAAATAAACTTAAAAAAACTCAAACATCTATAGAAAGAAAAACAGCAGATGCCTGAAAACTAGATACCACTTCTTGTATATTTATATATGAAATGATGTTCTTTTAATATGTTTGTATTATACAACAATTGTTTATGTAAACAAATATTAGTTGAATGATACAGCTGCAATTCTTGAGGAAAACATCTCTACAATAGTATCTTTAATGATAAGAGGTATATTATACCTAAATACAGAACATTTACTCCACTTATATTTAATAAAATAAGAAACCTGCTAATCATTGCTGGTTGATTGATTCATTTACTGTGGCTTATTAACTAACTCCTTGCAGGTTATTTAAAGCCAGAAAATATTATTAGACTATAAGAATATTTTTTTGAGATAATATTGGTTTAGTGATACAAGTCTTACTAATTAACCCATAACAAGGGGAAGAGACATAGTGAATTCATACATTTCCTAAGGGGATTTGTGTGTAAGCAAATATAATGATCCCAACAGGAATTTGAACTATGGCTCACCGCTTAATAAACCTGAGACATTATCCATTACACCACCTGCACATCCAAGCTTACAGTACCTAGTATTCCCTGCAAGGGTAGAGAAAGCAAGTTTCATACAAACTGTGGGTAGACAGAAGTGATTTGAATGAAGAGGAAACATTTGCTAGAGGTAATTATATTAATCTTCTGGTGTGCATTCTTTTATCCAGCAAATATCTAATTTTTACATTCTTTTATCTCTCAATTGGTTTATTTTTTGTAAATATTTTAGTGTTTTCTATGTCCTCTCCTTTTTTAATGAAAAATTTTGGCAATTAAAATTATTTTTATTTGATTTCTTTCTTCTTAACCTGTTCAAGTCTAGGATTAACTGTTATCTTAACCACATATCTTCATAAACTGCTTCTTACCTCTTACTCTGTAATCCTCTACCTTGAATGGCTCTTGGGTCTTGTACAAGGTGAACATTATTGTAAAGAATAATCTATTTTTTCATTTTTGTTGCAATATTCTTTTAGAAATTAATTCAAACTTAACAGTGTTATTAATTGGGAATTAGCAATATATGTTAGAGTCAGAAAGAAAAACAGAGTGGCATAAGAGATGAGAACACTGTCTATTCAGGATAGCTTTTTTTGCCTAATTATCCATGAAAGACATGCTTCTGAGATAAGAGTTCAAGGCTATTAGGTCAAGTCATCAGTAATTTCCATTTAGGGACTGTAATATATTGAAGAATAAAATTGATAAACAAAAACTTTTTATGATCCAATATTTTTTGTTCCAAATTTCAATATGTTGAGTAAAGAACTGATTGTCTAACAAATACAAATCAAAATTACATCCAATGAAGTTGCAACAAAAGCAGCAATAAGGAAGAAAAAGAAACATAACTTTTTGTTTGTATTTAGCAAATACACCTAAAATTAGATATTAAAAATAAAATAGTTTTTAAATTTAGTTTTAAAATGTCTATATTTGGCTGCTGGTAGTGCTGATAATTTGTCCAAGCCTCTGAAGAAAATTTTAGATAGGGTTTAAATGACGCCACATTGTTTTAAAAAAAATGTCTCCAAAAAGCACTGTCTGGAAGTGGGAATGGACCCCACTTACACACGGTGATCAATTTAGTCTGGTCATTAAGTATACCTTGAGTTACCCACCACCTTATTGTTTTGTGAGTGACTACTTGAATCCAAAGTATTTTCACACCTATGTGAGAAGTCCAAGACTTTGACATTAGTTCTTTAATTTGGATTTTTCTTGTCTGTAAACTGGTAGTGAGAAGAATATTGAAAAGATATAAAAGGTGGGTGCAGAGATAGAATGCCATAAAATCAAAACTACTACTTAAAATTGATTCTTGGTTATTTATTGAAACAGTTAACATTTTCAGACTAAAACTGAAAAGTCCAATTGAAATTTGATTTCATAAATGTAAAAACTTTTTTTTTTTTTTAAATTATTTTAAAGAAATTTAAATATCAACAAAAAAATGAAAAATCAATTGTTTTTTTTTTTTATTAATTTTTTTTTTTTTAGATATTTTTAATTAATTTAATTTTTTTTTAATGCAATGTTTCTTTTTTAAGTTTTTTTCTTTCTTTCAATTGTAGATCTTTCTTTCATTTTGCTTGGTATTCACCTAAATTTTGGATAAAATTGATTGTTGGTCTTAACTGTATTTCTTGTCCAAGAATAAAATTCTAACTTACTTTTTAAAGTGTTGAGAATCTAACTTTAATTCAATGTATTAATTGCTGATGGCCATTGCTTTTTTTGCCTTGTTTTTTTCTTGCAAAAATATTTTTATCGTTTTAAAATTTTACTACACCCAAAAAACAAACTGTTTGACACCAAAAATAAACTTTGAATATTCTTTATACACAAGAAAAGCAAGTTTTAATGGAATTTAACAAATTTAAAAGCAAAAATGAAGAGGTTGAGAATTGCTAGTTGAGAATTTAAAAATAACAAAATGTCACCAATTTCTTTTCAATGACAGGTAAAAATTTGACATAAAAGTTTGATTTTATATATGTTAAAAATATATTAGAATTTTTTGTCAGGACAAAAATACCATTTCACACCAAGAATCAATTTTATCCAACTTTTGGGCGAATACTGAACGAAATGGGGGAGTAAATCCAACGGTCCCTACAGTACAATTGAACCTCTTTTATTAAATTTATATTTATGAACTTCTAAACCAAATTGCAAATGAGATACAGCAGCAAATATCTCATTAAAGTTAAGCTAGATATTATTATTATTATTCTCAAAATCATGTTTTTCTTTATACAGTAAAAATATAAACTACTATTATTAAATATATTTTATTGACAGCACCGCCAATATAACAATAAATGGCCAAATCTTTATAATTAGAATAAAACGTGAAATTTCTTTGATAGTATGGATAATTATATTATGCAACCATCAATTAAATTTGGGATGTTAATATGGTGGCCATTTCATGCAAAAAAAAAAAAAAAAAAAAAAAAGGACCTGTTTTAAATCATTGTTGTTCTAACATTCCACAAAGTTAGGTGTACTTATACAAAGGAAAACAGTAAACAAGACCTCAGAATATCTGTAAGGCAATATCCACCACTAAAATAAGTAAACTTTATATATTTGCTTATACATTAATGTTAGTATGAAACTTTTAACAAAAAATATTTGATTTTTGGTCATTAATTTTCCGTGCATTCTATTCTATACAAGATTCAAATCTTCTATTTTACTGTTTATTATTAATGGTAAGTAAACATACATTTTAGTTAATTATTAATAACCAATAATGTCAGAGGAGACAGAGTGAAAAATTAAAGAATTTCAAAACGACAATTTTAATTAAAATTTGAAATGAAATATCTTTTAAAAATTAATCCTTCAGCTTATTCTTTGAGAGCACAATAATATAGTTTCTCTTTTTGCTGCCATATTGCACAAATTCACAAAAAAAATCTCAAAAGATTTTAAAAAACAAATATTAGACAAGAAATATTTATGCAAAATTTAACTACGACTGAGTTGAAATTGTTTGTCGTTTATTTTTATCAACTGTCAATTATTATATATACGTGTGTGTGTGTGTGTGTGTTTTAAATCAGTATGTTCAACTTTCAAAACAATAAAATACTGTTAAGAAATGTTTCACAAACGAAGACCTTTGTCAACCTTATCTATAATTTATAAATAAACAAAACTTGTCAAATTTGTATAATGTGTTAATGGTTTTTATTCAAACATTCCCTGTAACTGATTGTGATAAACGTTTGTGAACAATGGATCTGTCCAAAAGAAAATAAAGTCTACTGTTGCAATTTTGTTTGGGGTAGGGGGTGCCAGTCACAATCCTTTCCCTGGGTGCTACCAAACCTCTGCATGCCATTGACGGGAGGTGTTGACAAGTTTTCAATCTGACCAACTTCCCAAAATCTAACCCAATGACCAAGCATCAGATCTACATTGAAGGGATTCATTTTTTTGACACCCACTCATACAACTGAAAATAAGATATTTTCAAACATTGAATACAAAAAAAAAACCTTTGAGGACATAAGATGTTTAAGAATATTTAATGTCTTATTTTGAACTGTTGTCTTCATCTTTGTTGTCAATGCTTTCAAATCATTTTTCAGGTGTATCAATTAAAAAAAAAAGAATCCAAAAAAGAATTCTTTTTTTTTTTTCTTTTTCATTTTTAAAAGTTGCAAAAAAACATGAGGAAGGATGAAGAATGTATTGG